CAATGTCTCTTCAGTGATGTGTGATGCCAAAATATTTGAAAATCCAAAACCTAATACAAATGCTGAAAAGCTGAAAAGCTGCGCAACTAAAAGAACCTAAAGATAGCCAAAACCGGACGAGTAATCATAGCTTTGCATACTAATGAATCATGAAAATAAGGTGAAGGTCAGATGAACCCTGCCTGACAGATACCTTACAATCATTCCATGCACCAAAAATAGTTGACATATTGCTTATTGTATCTGTGAACCAGACCAAAACATGAAATCTAACATTGACCAATGAACTCTGAAAAGTAAGTCAAGGTTAGATGAACTCTATCAGACGGGGATGTACACCTTATGATAATTTCAAACACCAATTATTTGAGGGGTCCATATGTGGCATGTCGCAACGGCTAAATTCCTGTCCCTCGCTAATAAACCCTCGTTTTCCAGTGACATTCCAAATTTCATGTCCTTCATTTCGGTCAAACCTTATTACAGAACCTATCTGTTGTATGGATTGATTATTTGCTCTTGTCCTGAACATGCATGAAATATTTTCCACTCAATATAAAGCAAACAAAATATCAAGCATACACCAAATCTAGTTCATCTACTGCTTATAGTATCAAAGAAGCAGACCTTATCACCTAATTTTAACCTTGATGACTGATCCATAAAATGAGGTCGAGGTCAGATGAACCTTGTCTGACAGACATGTAGGCTTTGCAAGTGTGATGAATTTGTTAACTTTCCTGTTTCTTGTTTATTTAATAATCCAATTGTAAAGTCCAACTGAAAGAAATGTCATTGACATACCCTTGATTTATTCACCCATTCTTTTACTTTCAATTTCGATTTGTTTACAATTTTTACTAGGTGTTCAGTAATTGTTTAAGGGGGTCAGGAATTGACCTACAAATCCGGAATTCCTGCGATCAGTTGTTACAAAGAATATAACCGTCACAATGAAAGAACCTTAGTGAGCGCGCTCACATACCCCACGTCCCCACATTGTCATTGGAGAAATAAAATAAGTGTAAGAAAAAAAAATTGTATCAGAAAAAAAATTGAATCATAATTTCCTGTCAATATGCACATCTACATAGTATGTCCTTATTATCTACACAGTTTCAGGAAATTCTGTTGTGTGGTTTGAGAGGAGTTGCGATGACAAAAGGTTGCAGTAGTATATTGGGCAAATAAGTTCAAAGGTGGCGTAACTCCTGAAAAAAAATTGAATCGTAATTTCCTGTCGATATGCACATCTACGTAGTATGTCCTTATTATCTGAAAAGGTTTCATGAAATTCTGTTGTGTGGTTTGAGATGAGTTGCGATGACAAAAGGTTGCAGTAGTATATTGGGCAAATAAGTTCAAAGGGGCGTAACTCCTGGAAAAAAAATTGAATCGCAATTTCCTGTCGATATGCACATCTACGTAGTATGTCATTATTATCTGAAAAGGTTTCATGAAATTATGTTGTGTGGTTTGAGAGGAGTTGTAGGTATGTTGCAGTAGTACATTAAAGTAAATAAGTTCAAAGGGGCGTAACTCCTAGAAAAAGAATTGAATCGTAATTTCCTGTCGATATGCACAACAACATAGTATGTCCTTATTATCTAAAAAGGTTTCGTGAAATTCTGTTTTGTGGTTTCAGAGGAGTTGCGATGACAAGAAACAGGACTGACGGACTGACAGACGGACGGACGGACGGACGGACGGACAGACGGACGGACGGACGGACGGACGGACAGACGGACGGACGGGTCAAAAACATTATACCCTCCGCAACTCGTTGCGTGGGGTATAATAATGCTTTGTAATCTTATATATGCTAAGGTGTTGTAAAACGTTTTAGTGATAAAGTCGTTTTTGGACTAGTCTATTGTATGGACGAGTCTACAATTTACATTATATACCAAGATTTTCACAGTTCACATATTGTTCTGAGTATAGAATTCAAGAAGACCAGTTCGATAATATAGACGCACACTAAAGGTGAGATTAGGTATAATTCTGAATAAGAATTATAAGCAGTGTACCTGAATAAGGAACCAAGTGTTTAATTAATTATAGCTGCTGAAGAAACAGTGACTTCAGTGAGAAGCATTGGCTGTATACAATTTGAAGCATTTCTGGACGGTGAAGCATTGGATACAAGCAAAGTAGTGACTCAGACCAAATAGTTTAACAAGCACTGGCCCACATGTAGATATTAAGCAGTTACCACAAGTAAAGCACTGGCCCAGACCAAGCAGATATAAAGCAGTGGCCACAAGTAAAGCACTGGCTCAGTACATAGTTGATAAGAAGTTGCTTTTAGAAAGCACTGGCTAAGCAAAAGTAGATAAAGATGTTAATTAAAGCCTCGCACCAAACAGGGACGTCATTATAATTATCATCCTTGACATTTATCGTCTAATACCCAAAGCCTACTTAACCTGGACGCCCATCATCTAAATAAAGAGTACCCGAATATTCAGTTTATAAAGTAACGCTACCAATTGTTAAGCCTTGACTGTATCCAGAGAAACTACTCTTGTATGAAACCCAGAGTAGAGCAGTTGTGTAGCCCCGGTACGTGACACAAGTATGCTATACACAAATATTATTATCCTATTACTTATAATAAATGAGAAAAAAAAAATACAGTTTTATAAACAATTGCTGAACCATGAAAATGAGATCAAGGACAGTAGGCATATGACAGGTGGAAACTTGGTAAGATAAGAAATCTATTTATAAGATATGAACATTCAGGTCTTCTACCTTCTGAAATATAAAGCTTTATACAAATAGATTACACCGCCACCATTGCCAGATTTCGTTGATGGCGAGAGAAAAAATAGAACTGTGCGGTTCAACTAATACCATCTTCACCTGGATTGTTGTTTGAGAATGCTAGTGGCTTATAAACCGGGATTCAAAAGAAGTTGATAAAATAAATTAGGAATTTCAAGTGTTTTATTTGAGGTCTCAGAAGCATGTACATCCTACATACATGCACATGTGTATATCAGAATCTAACATTATATTAGGTTTTTCATATAAATATAATGAACCAACTTTTACGAGTTGTGATAACAAGGTAGATTCTGGGCAAGGCCAAAATTCAAGTTCAAAAGGGTATTACTCTTGACAAACTCAATGGACTGGAATATCCCAACCACATGCAGATCTGTATGTAAGACATTATACCAGCTTAAATATGATCAGTAGATGTCATTGTAAAAGTGTAATGTTGATCCCCAAAATTTAACACAAGCGAAATTGGTATAACAACACCGTTCAATGGCAATAACTCATGTAAGCAGTAGATCAATATTTTTGGTCATGATGACGTATTTGTTACTCTTGAGCTGCATCCTTGTTACTGGTTACTGTTTCTCTCTAACTTTAATAGTTTAATGCTTTAAGGAGTCAATTAAAAATTCAAGTTTCTTTTACTCTTTTGTAGATCTGATCTTGCTGATCATTTTCCCTCTTCACTGTTTCTCTATATCTACTATGGATCTCAAGACAAAAGCCAAAAACACAAAAATGGGTGAAAATTAGTAAAGGGTTCTCAAAACCCGGTGTTTTACTTGTGATTGCTGCTGTCAGTGTTTAACGTTGATTGTAAAAAAGTTATTCCATTTATCACTAAAAAATACAGAATTTTAAAAAAATTCAACTTTTTCTTTTGATGCTGTTTCTTTATCTTGAAGATTAGCTTCTGTCCAAGTTTCATAACAATACATGAAGGTTTACAAAGTATCATGTAAAAAAAAAATTAATCTGTTTGTAAATGTCAACTGTTAATAAAATGCTCCGCTGGGCGCAGCTTGATACGACTGCAGATTTGATTTTGATTGTTTAATGGTGTTTTAACGCCACTTTTAAGCACCGCTTTTGGGCTATTTCGTGGCGGCCAGTTTTTATTGGTGGAGGAAGCCGGAGTGCCCGGAGAAAACCACCTACCTTCGATAGGAAAACTGACAATCCTAGTCAATTAAGATTGGAGTCGAGTGCACCCGCACGAGCGGGGTACGACCGCAGAGGTCGAACCCTGAACAGTTGGGGCAAGTATGGACACAACATTCAAGCTTGATACAGCTTTGAATTTGGATTTTAGATTAAATATTTAAACTAAAGTTATTGTCCTGAAACCAAATGTGTCTTTGGACGACGACGACGACAACGACGATGACATAACATTATACGAAAGCAAAGTTTTTGCGGTCGTATAAAAACAGACCAAAACACAAAAACTTAACTTTAACCACTGAACCATGAAAATGAGGTCAAGGTCAGATGACAGCTGCCAGTTGGACATGTTCACCTTCCTTCATTCCATACACCAAATATAGTAGACCTATTGCTTTAAGTATCTGAGATATGGACTTGACCAAGAAAATTTAACCTCGTTCACTAATCCATGAAATGAGGTCGAGGTCAAGTTAAAACTGTCTGACAGACATGAGGAAGTTGCAAGGTACGCACATACCAAATATAGTTATCCTATTACTCATAATAAGAAAGAAATTAAGATTACAAAAAATCTTTATTTTTTTTTTCAAGTATTCACTGAACCATGAAAATAAACTCATCATAGATACCAGAATTGAAATTTTGTATTTGCACCAGACGCGAGAGAATGAGGTCAAGGACAATAGACATATGAAAGACGGAAACTTCATAACATAAGGCATCTATATACAAAGTATGAAGCATCCAGGTCTTCTACCTTCTGAAATATTAAGCTTTTAAGTAGTTAGTTAACGCTGCTGCCGCCGAATCATTATCCCTATGTCTCGCTTTCTGCAACTGAAGTCGCAGGCTCGACAATAAATCAATCCAAATGTCAAATCTTGGTTTATCGTCAGAATGCACAATTTCTGCACTTATTTCAGCATAATTTCAGTAACTATGAACTTGACATATTGAGTTCAAAATTGATAAGGATGTTTCTCTTATTATATGTGATTCAATTATACATTTTGAATCTCTTGTTATATATGACCAAATTATACCTTTTCTAGGTCAAAATCCACATCTGTCATGGGTACATCTCTTCTTGTCCTACGATACACAAAAACTCTTTTCACACATCCACTAAGTTTTACTGCTTCATCAACTACTGCTTTTAATGGAATAGTCTTACCTCCCCTGATTGCCTCATCTGCCGTTATAACTGTTTCTGCTTTAGCTGAAACAACAGACAAAAATGCCATATTTATAAAATGATCCATATTCACAAGTGTTATATGAAAAGAGTGCACACGATGAAATGTCTCACCTATTTAACTTATCGTTGAATTCATGTTGAAAGTCTGTAATATGACGGTCTTACTACAAGTATCACATAAACTTAACATTATCAATGTTCTACAAAAATGAGGACATTGTCAGATGAACCATGCCAGACAGACATTTACACCTTACAATCATTCCATACACGAAGTAGATCTTATAGTATCTGAGAATTAGACCAAACCACAATAAAATGCTCCGCAGGGCGCAGCTTGATACGACCGCAGAGGTCGAACCCTGAACAGTTGGGGCAAGTATGGACACAACATTCAAGCTTGATACAGCTCTGAATTTGGATTGTGATTAAATATTTGACACAGCATAGGTTTCTGACACAGAATGAATGTGGTCTAAGAACTTAAAAATTTTAAATTGGACATTCACCTATTATGGTCCAATATCCAAAATCTAAATACATGGTTAGATTCAGCATATCAAAGAACCCCAAGAATTCAATTTTTGATGAAATCAAACAAAGTTTAATTTTGGACCCTTTTGATCTCAATGTGGACAAAAATGATAACAGGGCCCAAAAATCAAAAATCTAAATACATGGTTAGATTCAGCATATCAAAGAACCCCATATATTCAATTTTTGTTGAAATCAAACAAAGTTTAATTTTGGACCCCGATTTGGACCAACTTGAAAACTGGGCCCATAATCAAAAATCTAAATACATGTTTAGATTCAGCATATCAAAGAACCCTAAAATTCAATTTTTGTTAAAATCAAACTAAGTTTAATTTTGGACCCTTTGGACCTTTATGTAGACCAATTTGAAAACGGAACCAAAAATTAAGAATCTAAATACACGGTTAGATTCGGCATATCAAAGAACCCCAATAATTCAATTTTTGATGAAATCAAACAAAGTTAAATTTTGGACCCTTTGGACTTCAATGTGGACCAATTTAAAAACGGGGCCCAAAATCCAAAAACTTAATACACGGTTAGATTCAGCATATTACAGAACCCCATATATTCAATTTTTGTTAAAATCAAACAAAGTTTAATTTTGGACCCCGATTTGGACCAACTTGAAAACTGGGCCCATAATCAAAAATCTAAATACATGGTTAGATTCAGCATATCAAAGAACCCCATATATTCAATTTTTGTTGAAATCAAACAAAGTTTAATTTTGGACCCCGATTTGGACCAACTTGAAAACTGGGCCCATAATCAAAAATCTAAATACATGGTTAGATTCAGCATATCAAAGAACCCCATATATTCAATTTTTGATGAAATCAAACAAAGTTTAATTTTGGACCCTTTTGATCTCAATGTGGACAAAGTTGATAACGGGGCCCAACAATCAAAAATCTAAATACATGGTTAGATTCAGCATATCAAAGAACCCCATATATTCAATTTTTGTTGAAATCAAACAAAGTTTAATTTTGGACCCCGATTTGGACCAACTTGAAAACTGGGCCCATAATCAAAAATCTAAATACATGGTTAGATTCAGCATATCAAAGAACCCCACATATTCAATTTTTGTTGAAATCAAACAAAGTTTAATTTTGGACCCCGATTTGGACCAACTTGAAAACTGGGCCCATAATCAAAAATCTAAATACATGGTTAGATTCAGCATATCAAAGAACCCTATATATTCAATTTTTTTTGAAATCAAACTAAGTTTAATTTTGGACCCTTTGGACCTTTATGTAGACCAATTTGAAAACAGAACCAAAAATTAAGAATCTAAATACACGGTTAGATTCGGCATATCAAAGAACCCCAATAATTCAATTTTTGATGAAATCAAACAAAGTTAAATTTTGGACCCTTTGGACCTCAATGTGGACCAATTTAAAAACGGGGCCCTAAATCAAAAAACTTAATACACGGTTAGATTCAGCATATTAAAGAACCCCAAGAATTCAAGAATAAAACCCCATTGAAATTGATCAAGAAATAAGCAATTTATACGAAGTATCTTCTTTTGCACAATACTGTGCAATTGATTATTTCTTGCTATTGCGCAATACTGTACAATTGACAATTTCTTGCTATTGCGCAATATTGTGCTATTGGATATTTCTTGCTATTGCGCAATACTGTGCAATTGAAGATTTCTTGCTATTGCGCAATACTGTGCAATTGAAGATTTCTTGCTATTGTGCAATACTGTGCAATTGAAAATTTCTTGCTATTGCACAATACTTATTATATAATAATTTACACATCCTGTTTGATGTGTATCTCCTACCATATCATTATTATTTGCTTTTAAATATAAATCAGAAATAACCAAATTAAAATTTTAAATTTTAAAAGAAAAAAAAAAGGAAAAAAAGAAAAAAAAAAGAAAAAAAAAATCCCCCCCCCAAATTTTTTGAACCCCCTTATGATTCATCACCCCCAAACTCAATCTCAGCCTTCCCTTTGTGGTATGGTACCTTGCAGTACAATTTCAGAGAGATCCATACACTTGAACACAAGTTATTGTCTGGAAACTAGAAAAATGCTTATTTTTGGCCCCTTTTTGGCCCCCAATTCCTAAACGTTTCGGGCAATTACCCCCAAACTCAATTCCAGCTTTCCCTTTGTGATATGGAACCTTGTAGTACAATTTCAGAAATATCCAAACACTTACACACAAGTTATTGTCATGAAACTAGAAAAATGCTTAATTCCTAACATTTTGAGGCAATTACCCCCAAAATCAATTACAGCCTTCCCTTTGTGATATGGAACCTTGTGGTACAATGTCAGAGAGATCCATACACTTACACACAAGTTATTGTCTGGAAGTTACAAAAATGCTTATTTTTGGCCCCTTTTTGGCCCCTAATTCCTTAACTGTTGGTACCATAACCCCCAAAATCAATCCCAACCTTCCTTTAGTGGTATTGAACCTTATGGTAAAATTTCATGGAGATCCATTCACTTAAACTAAAGTTAGAGTGCGAAAACCAATGTGTCTTCGGACGACGCCGGACGACGACGCCGGACGACGACGACGACGACGACGCCAACGTCATACCAATATACGACCAAAAAATTTTTAATTTTTGCGGTCGTATAAAAACTAAACATTGTCCAATGATCCATGAAATTGAGGTCAATGTCAAATGAAACCTGCCAGTTGGACATGTACACCTTACAATCATTTCATACACCAAATATAGTTAACATATTATTGCTTATAGTATCTGGTAAACTAAAAAAATTATCATTGACCAATGAACCATGAAAATGAGGTCATGGTAATATGAACCCTGACAGGCAGACATGTACACCTTACAATCGATCAATACAACAAATATATTTGACCTATTGTTTATAATATCTGAGAAAAAGACCAAACCACAATAAATTGTCACAGAGATATGTCTCGCCTGTCGGCATAAAATTTAGAAAAAGACAATCTGGTGGACAGCAACATTTGATTATTAAATTCAGTTGCTGGACCATGATCTAGTATGTAGGGCCTGAAAATATCACTGATCTATCACACACAGTTCTTATCAAACTGACATCAGCAGAAAACTTCAAATTGAAAATTGAAATTTATTGAAAGTGGCTGGACCATGACCTAGCTATAGGGGGCAGGGCCTCAAAATAGTCGCCAAACTGATATGAACTGATAGTAATGTAACTTCATACACAGAATCATAGATATATCACAAGTAGATCCAATCAAACTAACTTAAGCAGAAAACTAACATTGAAAATTGCTTATTAATTCAGTCACTGGACCTTGTCCTAGGGGACAGGACCTCAAAATTGTGGTCAAACTGATATGTACTGATAGTAATGCAACTTCATACAAAATATCAATGATCCATTACAAGTAGATACTATCAAACTTCCTTAAGCAGAAAACTTAACATTAAAAATTGCCAATTAATTCAAAGTCACTGGACCATGACCTATGGGGCAGGGCCTCAAAATAGTGGTCAAACTGATATGTACTGATAGTAATGCAACTTTATATTAAATATCAATGATCTATCACAAGTAGTCCTATCAAACTAACTTGAGCAAAAAACTTCGTTAGCAATTGTTGATGCCGTCGTCACCTAAGCCGTCGCCGTCCCAAGAAAAGCAATCCCTATGTCTCGCTTTCCGCGACTTTTGTCGCAGGTGAGACAAAAACTAAACATTGTCTAATGAACCATGATATGAGGACAAGGTCAGATGAAACCTGCTAGATGGACATTAACACCTTACAATCATTCCATACACAAAATATAGTGCCCTATTTCTTATAGTAACTGAGAGGCGAAAGATACCAAAGGGACATTCAAACTCATAAGTCAAAAATAAACTGACAACGCCATGGCTAAAAAAGAAAAAAAACCAACAGACAATCAACAGTACACAAAACACAACATAGAAAAACTAAAGACTGAGCAACATGAACCCCACCAATAGACCAAACCACAAAAACTAAATATTGTCCTATGAATCATGAAATTGAGGTCAAGGTCAAATGAAACCTGCCAGTCTTTACAATCATTCCATACACCAAATATAGTTGACCTTATACTTATAATATCCAAGATAAGGACTTGACAACGTAACATTAACCTTGATCACTGATCCATGAAATGAGGTCGAGGTCAGGTGAACCCTACCCCACAGATATGTAGACGTTGCAAAGAACCCATACACCAAATATAGTTATCCTATTACTCATAATAAGTATTTCACTTGACAAAAATGTGCTTCGCCGAGCGCAGCTGGATACACCCCAGAGGTCCAACCCTGAACAGTTGGGGCAAAAATGGACACAATATTCAAGCTTGATACAAGTCTGAATTTGGATTGTAATTAAATATTTGACACAATATAGGTTTCTGACACAGAATAAATGTAGTCAAAGAACTTGAAATTGGTTATATGATTTGAATTTATATTCAATTGAAAATTTCTTG